TAATACTTTTGGGCTATCAGGCGATTACTTGGTCATTTCTGTTGAGGGAATGAAAAAGGGAAGAAAAGAAAAGGTCAGCCATGACACAGTCTGGACTGGTCACCTCCTGATCTGCTCGCCCATGTTTTCCAGTGCAGCAGCTCAGAGGAAGTCTTTCATCCCAAGTCTCCTATTTTATTCGGTCACGTTTGTCAACTGATGCTATTGTGCAGTCTCTCCTCATTTTGTTTTTAGCTAAAATAAATGCATGAAGTTCCACCATGCCAGTATCAGAAGACCCTTGCTCAGTGACAATTTTAAGCTCTTAGGTCTCCAAATAAAGATATTAACAGGAGGGCTGTGGCAGAGTTCAGTGACCCAGCTCGTGCTTAGCCTTCATGAGGCCCTGGGTTCAATCCCCAGTACCAGAAACATAAAAGATATTTACAAGGCCAGGCTACCAACATGCAGTTTTGCATTGGGCTTAGAGGTCAAAGAGTGACTCAAAGTAGCATGTGCATTAATCAAAAAACTGTTAATGAATCTCACTGTTACTCAGGACCATAGGTACTTTGAGGCATAGAAATGCATGCTATTGATCTATAACTATAAAATATAGGGAAAGAAAACGTGAGATGTTATTGCTTTAGTGAGTCATAGTATTTGTGGCAAAAGAGTATTTATTTTGGTGAGGGGTAAATCAAAAGACTGGTTCTAAAGCAGCTGGTTAATAACAATTTCAGGCTTTGGAATAGCCTAATCTACTTACACAAGTTACGTTGATGGTAGAGAATTAGTGAGTGTCAAATCATTTGTTCATAATTACCAATGTAATGTTAGCATATAAAAGGAGACCAGATTAAGCTGAGTAACTGGTTTACTCTATAGAGTAGTCAGAAATAAGATGGTGTGACTACTTCATATTATAGGGAATTTATAAAGCTAAGAAATCTCAGACTGATCACACACACATTACGTACTGATGGGATTCCCTTGAGGAAGGGAATGGCAGGTCAATCAAGGAGCATAATACTTGCTGGGCACTGAGCCATGTGCTGAGGACACCGTAAGGGCCAGGGTGTGATTCTTGCTTTTATGGAACTCACAAGAGGAAATGGATCTGCCCACAGTCCACAGGTCAGACAGGATGCAGAGAGGCTGGAGCTCAAGAACCTGGCTAGGAGGATCGGCAGTGAGATGATGAGGTCCTTGAGAGAGCAGAGGATGAGGAACCTGAAAGGTACCAAAGTGTTTGGAGCCTGTAAAAAGAGAAAGGGAGGGAAGTAATAAAGAGATCAGGGACATGGGAACCATAGTGGGGCCACCCACTGCAAATGGGTCACTTGCAAAGGCAGTAGTCACAACAGCAGGGATTACGAAGTTTTAGAAGACACTGAAAGTGAGGTAGTGGCAGGACTTATACATGGAAATAAAGTCTCAGAAGACAGACCATGGAATGATGCAAGGGGGATGAGAAAGGGTAAAGTCCCCAGGAGCTGCACAGAGATTGAAATCAGAGCATGGAGCATATCCCCAGAGTGAGAAGGTGGGAGGGAGGAGAAGGGAGTCCAGCCTGGTTGAAAAGGTCAAGAAGACATGGGGGAATGTGACGTCCCCGAGTCTGAAGGAGGAAAGAATTTCAGAGTGGGTTGTCAGGGTGCTCAAATGCCACAGAGAGGCTGAAGAGAATGAGAACCAAGATAAAGCCATTCATTGTATAGAACAGCATTCCATAAAACAGCCTGTGGAATTTTTTGTTTTAAAATTAAATGAAAAGTGTAAGATATTAATAAACTCTGAAATAAAACATACATGCAAATGAACATCAAAGATTCAATAACTTGCTGGGCTGAAGTGACACTACTGTACAGTCACGTAAAGCACTTTTTATTTCAACTGGTCTTTATGACATTCCTGGGATGATTACAGCCTAAAAGAAATCACATTCTTTGTTTTCATCATTTCCTTGCTCAATTACAGTTTGCATTTGTACAGTGATTGATATTAACCCTAAATACTAATCCGGGAACTTTGTGACTGAAAATGAAAGATCATTTGAATGACGAGGCTACCCTTAGGGATGGCACTCAATGTTTACTTACATAGCACAAGAGGATTTGGCACAAGTTATTTCCATTTTCCCTTCACTAGCTCTGTGAAATGTCCCATTATCTCCATTTTATGTGTGTGACCGACCTCTAAGAACCCATGTCAAAAATAAATACATTGTACAGGGAAAACCTAAACCAAATAAATGGATTTTTCATGTTTAATTATCTTAAGCTCTGCTAAGAACAATGAAGGAAATTTTTATCATAGAACAAGAGCAACAGCAAAAAAATCTCAGATTCTCAGACATTTCAATTAATCAGTCTCCTTTCTATAAGACAGAATATAAGGCTGTTTGTCTCATTGGAAAGTCCCATAAATTTCTGTTAGAAAAAATTTTGTCTGCAAATGACAAAGCCCACCTCAAATTCACTTAGGAAAAACAGGAGAATGACTGGCCCAATTAATGGGGAGTCTAAGGGTAGAAGGTCAGGCTAGAGGTTCAGAAGAAACTGAATCCAGGGGCATCCTATCTGAAATGAGAGCAAATTCAGAGCCTGAGTGTGGGTGGGGGTGTGGCAGGGGTGGGGTGGGGTAAGCAAGGATGAGACTTAGCCTCACCTCAACTGCAGACTCTTGGGCAGGGAAGAAACAGTTTCCATGGGAAAAATCGAGGTGCTTCTAGAAGAAACAACAATAGATGCTAGGCAGGCCAAATCAGAGATCCCCAAAATGCTACCCTCAAGTAGCATTTGCCTAGCTGACCTGAAATTCTTGCTGTTTGAACCATGTCTTAAAGACTTGGAGACTCAGAAGCTTCCTAGATGATGCAGCTTCTCTGAGGTGAAGTTTTTCAATGCTGACTGTACATTAGAATCACATGGGTGCCCCCAAATTGTTTTTAGAAATGTAGATGCCTGAGCTGACAGCCTCAAGTGGAGTCTAGACTACTTGTTGGACCTCAACACCCCAAAGTGTTCACGCAGTAAATGCTTGAAAGGAGCAATACATTGTGTAAAGTTAATAGCAGGAGTCGGTTCTGCCTGTCCTTCCTCCCGAGGTATCAGGGAGGATGGGGACAGAGGTGGGTGCCCCGTAAACATTGGATGAACTGAATATAACAGAACTACATGGAGAGGACATAAACTATAGTATATTACACTATATTACACTACACTATATTACATTACACTATATTGCATTACATTATATTATATTACATTATATTTTATCTTACTATACTCCCCCTTCCTGAGTTTTCTTCCTTTGAACATTCTAGACCCCATTTCCTGTTGCAAAGACAGGAAAAGTGGTGGACAAAATGATAGGAAACATGGGATCAGGGGCCTCCAGTCTAGGCAGGAGAGAGTAGCTTTCCAGAATTGCTCTTTGGAGCTGAGGAAGTAAATGCAAGGAAGTAAATGCACCTCCCATCCCAGTGGAAAGAAGACCAAGTCTTAGGTGAGATTTACAAGTCAGGCTGGGATGGGGTTTGCTTAGCCTGGGGGAAGTCCCAGGAGCAAGAGCAAGCCCTGCCCAGGTGAGGACTTTCTTCATGATGGCCACAGGAAAGCACGTGACTGAGGGCAGAGGGAGGAGGGCATAAATGGCTGTTTTTTTGTTTGCTTTGTTTGTTGTTTCTTGGTTTTTAGTTAAATGTTCAGGCCTGAAAAGAAGTGCTGATTACAGTCGAAATCTCCCATATTCTATCATTTTGAGCTTGTACATTTTCCAGCTCTGAGCTGACGAAGGAACATCACAGTTTTAATTTGGATTTTAAAGATCAGTCCAGAAGTTGAAGCCAAGTGGCTTCCCTAAGGCTCCTGCACTGCAGTGCCACCGCTGGCCACAGGGGTGCAGTGCAACTCAGCGGACAGTGGGAACGGGGAAGTCTGGCCCAGGGTGGAGGGGAGGGGCTCCAGGAAAAACCCTCCCCAAAGCAGTAACAAGCTCCTTGAACCACGTGGAACTATTAACCCCACTTCTACCCCTCCGCCCTTCCATCCTTTCCGTCCCCTACTCCCTCTACCCCTAATTCTATCATAATTTGTGTAAAACACAAAAATATTTGTGAAGTGACAGTTTCTACAGGGCTTAATACATGTTCCCTTACTGCAGCATACAGTGGGCTTGTTTTGTAAAAAATTAGAAATAACCACAATATCAATGATCAAGAGCTGACAAAATGACTTGTGAAATGTTCAAAGAAAGATAATGCAGACTTTTAAAAAAAATCTGTTTTAGATATTACTTAAAGGTAGAAAATGTTAAGTGAAGAAAAGCAAGCCAGGTGTGGTCGTGCATACCTGTAATCGCAGCACTTAAGGAAGCTGAGATAGGAGGTTGGCAAGTTCAAGGTCACATAGTGAGGACCTATCTAATAAATAAATAAATAAATAAATAAATAAAAGCAAAATCCAGACAAAATATAGTGAGATCTTCATTTTATTAAGTGCTTATTAAAATATATTTACAACCAAAAACTTGAATGTGGTTGATGTGCTCACTGTATACTAGTGAATATAGTAATCTTAAACTGGCAGAGACCACTATGGGAAGGTGACAGGGAAGTAGTGAAGAAGTCTGGTAGAGATGAATCAATTCAGGTTGTAATACACTTGTGCATGGAAGCAATGCTAGGAATCTAGCTGTATAGCTATCCGTATCTCAACTAGCAAAAACTCATTGTTTTTCTTATTATCTTTTATATTTTTCTTCTACAAAATCAGAGAACAAGAGGGCAAAACAGGTTCTGCCAAGGAGGTGGGGGGTGGGGGGCTGGCCCAAATAATGTATACACATGTAAGTAAATGTAAAAACGATAAAAAAAAAAAACGTATTTATACAGAATAAACAGTCTCTAAATGGTAGGATTATAGTTGATTTTCATTTTCTTCTTGATGGTGTTTTATAATTTTATAAAATAATGAATATGAATGCCCTGTACTTAGAAGAAAATTAATGAAGGCAATGCCAAAACAAACAACCCTAGGAAGAGGATGACTGACTTGACTGCAGTCAGAAAGGGAGCACAAGACTGACTCCAAACTTGCGTCTTGACAGGCTCGTCCCCGATCCAGGCCGATCACACGAGGCTGTGATCTCACTCACGAGGCTGTGAAAGAGCAAGTAAATTCAATAACACGGTAGATGGGATCAGAGATAAACCTTCCTTTTCTTCTGAATGCTTTCTGTATTTTTCAGATTTTCTATGGGAGGCATGTGTGGACTTTATTTAAAAATATTAAAAAAAATAGCAGGTGCAGACTGACCACAAAATGAAAAACAAGCACAAGTAAATGAATAGGAAGCAAAAAAGGAAGACTTGAAGGTAGGTTTTTATACTTTTTTTTTTTTTTTCAGTACTGGGGTTTGAACTCTGGGCACTGTAACACTTAAGCCACTCCACAAGACTTTTTTTGTGTGTGTGTTGGGTATTTTTTAGATAGTGTCTGCCTTTTTGCCCAGGCTTGTCTCAAATTGTGACCCTCCTGATCTCTGCCTAGGAGTAGCTAGGATTACAGGCATGAGCCACAGGTGCCTGGCTAGACAACCATTTAGAAGTAGCTCTTCCTGCTCCGTTGAACATTTGGTTTTCGTTTGGTTTGATGCTGGGTGTTGAAGTCAGGGCCTGTGTCCTCTAAGCATGTGCTCTTCCACTGAGCTATAGCCCCAGCTCCTTGCTTCAGTTTGAACCAGGATCCTAACTGTCCAGACATAATTTAAGATAGCTGTCAATTTTATGCTAGAATAACTACTTTAATAAATGTCTTCCCAATCATAAAACATCAAAACAATTAAACGTTAAAACTTTTTAATGAGTACAAAATCATGTGATTTTTATGGAAAAGAACTGGTAATGTCTGCACTTAGAACTGTAAATGTTTTGTAGTATAGTCTTCTAGACATAGATACAGGGTTTTTTTGGGGAGAGGTTGCTGGGGATCAAACTCAAGCCTTGCACATTCTAAGCAAGTACTCTACCACTGAGCTACATCCTCTGTCCCAAAACAGATATTTTAGCCAGACGCTGGTGGCTCACGCCTGTAATCCTAGCTACACAGGAGGCAGAGATGAGGAGGTTCAGGGTTGGAGGCCAGCCCCAGGCAAGTAGTTCATGAGACCCTATCTTGAAACAACCCATCACAAAAGAGGGCTAGTGGAGTGGCTCAAGGAAGGTGTAGGCCCTGAGTCCAAACCCCAGTTCTGCCAAAAATAAAAATAAAAAAGACATTTTTAAACAAAGAAGAAACCAATTGTTTTGTGAGGTGCCAATTCACACAAATATATGTTTTGACCCTTTCCCCATGTCTTTAATGTGCTGATGGCTGGTTACATACTTACCTCAGCATAAGTGTGCACTCTAACTTATTCAACCCGTCTCCTGTTGTTAAGTCTCTGCTCATTTTTTAGTTTTTATTCATTAAGAATAATTAGATTGATATCCATAATTACTTTTGTCTCTGTATCTTACTAAGCTTTCCTTTGCTGTGACAAAATACCTTAGACAGTCTACTTAAAAGGAGGGAAGATTTATTCTGGCTCGTGGTTTCAGAGGTTTCAATCTGGTCTCTTTCCCCATTGTTTGGGGCTTGTGGCAAGACAGAATATCAGGGTGTGGGGGGGGGTTCACGGTGGAGCAAAGCTGCTCACTTTATGGTGGTCAGGAAGCAACAAGAAGAAAGGAGGGACCAGGTTCTCCACATACCCCTCAAGGGCATACAGCCAGTGACCTAACTTCTTTCCACTAGGTCCCATCACAGTAGTGCCCCAGAAAGGCACCATCAGGTGGTTCAGATCCTAACTATAACAGTGTCTGATTATTTTCTTACCATTGATTGCTAGGATGGAATTGTTGGATGGAAGACTCAACTCTTCATCAGAAGGGGTGCGGCCTTCTGCTCTGTCCTTAGCGGTATCTATTTAGAATATTATTGTGTTATAGTTAGTCTTGAAATAAGATAGGGTCAATCATTCCAGTTACTTTCCAAGTTGTTTTGGCTTTTCTAGGTCTTTGACATACTCATATTAATTTAGAATCATCTTCTCAATTTCTAAAAAAAAAAAAAAATCTGTAGAATTTTGACTGGATGTCATTGAACCTAGAAATCCATTTGGGAAGAAGTGACGTAATTTTAAATCTAACGTTATCTAATTTATAAAAATGAATAGAGTTTTAGATTTTAAAGTAGTGTTAGGTTTACAGGAACATACAGCATTCCCACAAACTCCACCCTGCTATTTCATCTTGAATAATATTTGTCACAACTGATGAACCAGTGTTGACAACTGAAGCCCATAGTTTGCTTGGCTCATGCAGGATATGAGTTTTGTAAGTGGTAAGTGACACGTATCCACCACAACAGCATCATACTAACAAGTGGTCCAATCGATTTGAGTTATCAAGCAAATCTATATTGTTTTTTGCCTATTAATCTCATAGCTTAAACCTTACTAAGCTCACTTTTTAGTTTGGGTGGCTTTTAGGTAGATTCCATTAGATGTTCTACATAGATGATCATACTGTGTACAAATAAAAACAGTTTGATTTCTTTCTTTCTGGAACTTCTAGGAAATGTGATCCTTTATTCATAGTATGGTCCTTTCTTCTACTTTTTTTTTATTGTTGTACTGGGGGTACATTGTGACATTTACAAAAGTGCTTACAATATTTTATAGTTGAATTCACCCCCTCCATCATTCTCCTTTATCTCTCTTCCCTCTCTTCCACTTCTGAGCAGTAGCAGCAACAGCAAGATGGAGCTCTCAGTCAGCCATGCAGTCACCAAGTTAAACAGCCAGTTCTCCACAGTGCACTGTTTTGCTAAAAACCGTGATGTTTGGTAGGTTAGATGTATCGAATGCCTTTCTCACTGACAGTATTTTCAATTTGTGGTGGGCTTAGCATGTAACCCCATTGTAAGTTGAAAAGCATCTTTGTCTACTTTGCTTTTTCCCTATACCTACATACCTGTGACAAAGCTTAATCTAGAAATTAGGTACAATGAGAAATTAATAACAATAGTCAGAACATGGTATAATTGTAGCAATGTTTGTAATAAAATTTTGTGCTTTGGGACTACTGTTATGGAAAATAAGAGTTAACAAGAACACAAGCACTATGGTGCCATGACAATCAATCTGATAACTGAAGTGGCCCCAGAGTGATTAATATGTAGGCAGCATATACAGCACGGATACAACAAAGGAATGATTCATGGCCTGGGAAGGATGGAGCAGGGCAGTCAAGATTACACCATACTACTCGAAATAGCATACAATTTCAAACATATGAAATGCTTATTTTTGGAGTTTTTCATGTCAGATTTTGGGCCATAGTCAACCAATGGTAATAGAAATCTTGAAGGGCAAAATGCAGATTCTGGGGAACTACTTTATATCAGACTTTGTTTAGATTTTGTGCATTTATGTTAGTGAGTGACATTTAGTCTATAGTTTTCGTGTAATATGTTTATTTGGTTTTGGTATTGGGGAGATGCTAACTCATGGAGTGATCAGAAATTACTTCTTCTTCTTAAATTTTCTGGAAAATTTGTTTACCATTGGAATTATCTCTTCCTTAAATGTTTGGTAGAGCTCACCAGTGAAGTCATTGGAGCTTGGAGTTTTGTCTATGGAAAAGCTTTAAACTATTAGTAAACAGAAATATGGTTATTTAAGACACTTAATTCTTCTGGGTGAGATTTGGTACTCTGTGTCTTTGTTTTCTAGTAGTTCACAAATTCTTAATAGTCATTTGACACATGTAACATGTTTTTGAACAGCATTGGATGAAGTAAGATAACTGTTTTGAAATTATTTAGAGAATTAATAAGAAGTCTTCATTACTTAGTCTGTGAAAACACTAGATTGTAAAGTACTGTGCAATTAAGTATTATTATTGCTCGTTTTCCCATAGTCTACAAAAGCTTTCCATATGCTTTAGGCTTACATTGTACTCCTGCTTTCATGTGAGATTTAGAGGACAGAATAACATCATGAAATGATACACAGGGAAACATTATCATGAAATGTGTAATTTTTGCAGCTTTTATAAATTACACCTAGTAAGTTAAAATGTCTAGTTTAATCATGAGTCATTGCACATAAATATTCTGGATAAGACTTTTCAAAAAGTGTACATTGGAGAAAGCTTTCTCAGTGTCTTGACTTTATTTAGAACTTTAGAAAATGTTCCAGTGAAAGAAAAGGTAGCAAAAATTATAGTCATTAGTGAACATTAAGAGCAAATGTTAAAATACCCTCTCGAAGCTGCAAATGTAAAACTGTCTCGAATGCCCGAATGCATGCTGAAATCTATCAAGCTCGATTATTTGATAAATGATAAAATAATTACAAGTTTTCAAAAGTGATGGCAGGAATCACAGTAGGTGCTTTTGGAGCACTGAACTCTATTCAACTGGGTTTTATTTTAAATAACTGGTAATAACTTAGTGAACAGTTTAGCAAACTATTTCTTAAAACATTTTTCATCCATGGTAGATTTTTATTTTATTCATTTATCTATTTTAGTTCTGGGGATTGGACCCAGAGCCTCATGCATATTAAGAAAAGCACTCTATTAATTACTAACTATACCCCAGTCCCTGTGGTAGATGTTTAAAACGTATTGTAGGCTGGCAGAGTGGCTCAAGCAGTAAGAGTGCCTGCCTAGCAATTGTGGACCCTCTGAGTTCAAACCCAGATGCCACCAAAAATAAAACATAAAAAAATTAAAATGCATTGTATACATGGGAAGGAGGATAAATGTCAGAGAGCTTAAAGAGAAAGGTGAAACCAAGGGGAATTTTCCTTCCTAGAGCCATGCATTTCCTTATTCTGCCACTGTGCGGCAGTATAATGACAATCAGCCAAAAAAAAAATTACCTGATTCTTTCAAGACCACCTCATTAGTATTCACAGGTAATTGTCTCCAAGGCTGTAGAGATAAATGAAGTAACTATGAATCCTTACTTGAGAAGATTCTATTTTCTTAATGATGAAAAGGGAAATGAAACGGGCTCTTTGATGAGTGTAAACCAATAGATAATTCTAGAAGGGCAAGCTTGCAAGTTATCATAAAAACACAGAAGAGGCTCAGATTTTGAATCAAACCCTATTCTGTATTTTGAGTCAGACAGGTTTGATTCATACTGTTACCACATGCTAGAAGACACAGAAACCAGTGAGCAGGAGAAATTGGACACCTGACAGCTTTTTAGTTAAGCAGTTTTCACAGCGCCTTCACAGAAACTCTCAGAAATTTCTACTTGACTTGAATAACTACATCTGAAATTTCCTGTAAGAAAAGCTGGTTACTTACTATTGTATCAATTTGGAGACTCCTGGGTTCAATGAAAACAAAGCAAGGTGCCTTTCCCATGGGATGACTCTATTAGACAGAGTCATCCCAGTCTTCTGCTACTTTCAAACAAATATGTCCTGCTGCTTGCCGGCCACAGTGAATTATCATTCAGGAGGGAAACTTTAAGACTTTCCTTTTTAGAAAACAATCCTAAAAGCTTTGACACTTGCTACAACAAAGATGAACCCTGAAGGCATTCTGCTAAGTGAAATAAACCCGTCACAAAAGGACTGCTACTGTATGAGTCCATTTATATGAGCTTCCTAGAAATAAACCCACAGGGACAAAGCAGAATGGTGGCTGCAGGAGCTGAGGGGATGGTGGACCGGGGGATTAGTGTCTAATGGGCACAAAATTTCAGCTGGGGAAGATGGGAAAGTTCTAGAGATGGTGGTGGCAATAGTTCAACAATGTGAGTGTACTTAAGATCACAGAATGGCGTAATTAAAAATGGTACATTTTATGTTATGTAGACTTGACTACATTAAAAAGAAACAAAAATCACAACAGCTCTTACTATTCCTTTTTTTCTTGTTATAAAATCAATATCTATGTATATTGTAGAAAGTCCAATGGAAAGAAATTTAGAAGCACAGAGTTCACCATTGCTAACCTTTGCGCTCATTTTGCTAGTCATTTTGTTATGTACTGATGTGTACTTGGGTGTGTGAGAGAGAATTTATTTTGCAACATGGCCTCTTTCTGAGACTATAAAACTCCACTGGAGAAAGATGTTAGTAATTAGCCTGACACTTCTTTATGCCACGTTACACCAAAGGACAAGGTAACTGCCCCTAGGAAGTGACAGCAGGCTGTATTTGAAAAGATGATCAAGTGTGCAGTGAGAAAGGTGTAGTTATTTTTTCACTTGAGCCAAGTGGACAATGGTGACAATTACTCTTGTCAGAGTAGTAAGTACTCAGTGGCTTGACCTAAAAACTTCAGTGTTAGCTGTGGGGATAGACAATAATGTTTAAAGCAGAAACATATACATAAAACCCAAATTAAGGCAGTATTCAAGATAAAATTCTAAGAAAATATTTCAGCCATTTCATAAATAATGTGAATAGTAATGTGATGTTTCCTTTACTTGCTAAATATTTGTGTCTTTTGTTTTTGCTGAACTGGGGCTTGAACTCAGGGTCTTCACCTTGAGTCACTTCTGCCAGCCCTTTTTGTGATGGGTATTTTTGAGATAGGGTCTGTGAACTGTTTGTCTGGGCTGATCCTCCTGGTGTCTATCTACCTCTTGAGTAGCTAGGATTACAGGTGTGAGGCACCAGTCCTGGCAGTGTGTTTCTCTAATTTGGAAAAAATGTTCTGAATGCAGGAAAATGCCGAGGATAGTATAGAGTATAATAAATACCCACATATCTGTCACTCAAGATTAAGCAACAGTATCGTAGTCAAATGAGCTCCTGAGTTTTAACAGTAAAACACTCCACTCCACCCCACCATTATAGGTGGGGTCACTGCCCAGGCCCAGTGTGTGCTCTCTGTCCCTAGGCAACCTCATTCATGTTTCAGTGTGTGTTTGGTCATTTCAATACAGAT